CTGTATGGTATATTAATCTCTTCATCATAAGCATATTCTTTAACACCGATTGCCTTTGGAATATACACACTTTAATTAGTATACATTATTTTAATGAATAAATTATTGCTCATAATTCTGAATTGCTGTTTGGGTAGTTTATTTATGGGGTTCTGTTTGGGTCAGATGAATGTGATTAGTACAGAAGTATATAATGTCTATAAAATTGATGATACTTTTACCAAAGGTCTGATGCAATGTAAAATTATATCCGTTTTCGTTCAGCCCTATTAACCATAGGAGGAGGAGTAGGTTCCATATCAGCATCAATATTGATGGGCTTGTTTTCCAGGAGAAAGTGTCTCCAGATAACCGATGTCTTTGGAATGATGGCAATAATGATAGCATTCATGGATGAGAGCAGATACTTACTATTGGCTTCTCGGTTCTTTGTCGGACTTGTATTAGGACTTAATGGAGTCCTAGTACCTGTTTATATAAACGAGATGTCACCAAAGGAGAAAGCAGGCATCTTGGGAACAATGAATCAACTATTTATAACTTTAGGAATATTGACTACATTTTTGATGTCCTCATTTTCAGATGCATCATTGCCTATCCCATTTTATAAATTGATGCTGTATCTACCTATGATACCTTGTATAATAAGAGCTAGTGCATTGTCAACTGTGTTTAAATATGAAACACCTGTATATTGCGCTAAACATCATTTAAAGTATCAATAAAATCAAAACAAAGTTAGCAATTACATAAAGTTGTGGAAATGATATACGAAGAAAAAGCAGAGAAAATGTATGAATAATTTTAATAATCACAAAAATCAACAGAAAGGAGTATGACTATAAATCAATTACTATCTTCAAAGTACAGAAGTCGATTGATTATCGGAATTTCTCTTGCTTCTTTACAACAGTTAGGAGGCATAAATGGGATTATGTTTTATTCTTCTTCTATATTTGATTAAGTATATACTATATGAATCAACTTAGGTGACTGGCCAAGCAGCAAAGAAAGTGTTTTATTTAAATTTAATAGTTGGCTTTATTGGAGTGTTTACAGCCTTATTAGCAACTGTAATAATCGAGTAATTTGGAAGGTATGATTAATAAGAAATTATAAATTAGAAAGCCAATTTTAAAATATGGAACCCTATGGTGCTGTGTAAGTTTATTGATGCTGACATTTGTAATGTCCAATAGCATAGGGGATACATCATATGGATCGTATTTGATAGTGATTTGTATATTCTCCTATCTATTTGGTTTTGGATTCTCCTTGGGCCCATTATTATTTATTTATTTGACTGAAATATTGCCAGATTTGGGAGTGAGTGCCAGTAGTTTAATGAATTGGATGTCGGGAGGATTAGTAGCCTAGATGTTTCCGATTATAGCATCATACGATATATCCTATTGTTTTGGCATATTCTCCATATTTAACTTTGCAGCGTATCTTTACAGTTTAATTAGCATACTAGTTACTTGATCATCCAATAGAAAGTGATTGAAACGAAAGGATTAGATAGGGAAAGTGTGGACAAATATTTTGAGAATCAAAAGTTTGATTAGATGCCTTATTAGGAGGTTTACTAAGAAGATAGGTTTCGTTGAAATAGAAGTGGGTGAAGTATCTTTGTCAATCATAATTATATATAAATATCACATTTATATATAAATCAAAATTAGAGAGATATCAATTAAGCCTTCTCCATCTTAATCCCAATATTTTTTTGTTTGGTCACCTATCTATTTTATTGCTAAATCAATGTCCTCCTAGCAAGTTGGAGGAAAATGAGCATCTAAAATTTAATCGATGACTAAAACATCCAAGATTTCCCATAATCCTGTTGATCCAATCAATAAGTATCCTGATTTAGGAACCTTAAACTCTGAAAACTCTGGTTCAGCACTTATTCCAACTGTCTTGCCAATCAAATTACCAAAACATCTTGTCAATTTGACACCAGGTTAATTTTATTTAGGTACCCACACCTTCAAATTCCCACACTTTCTTCCTTTGTATACTGCTTAATCTATTTTGCCACCTTTGTTTAATATCCTTTGCACCTCTTTACTATTGTTCGTGTCATGAACAAAATTTAAATTCTTCTAGACAAACTTTCTGATTTCTTTTGGTCCACTCGGATCAAAATCTTTTCTATAGAAAAAGGCAGCCTTGGAATCCCCTAAATTGGCACAGTATATGGTATTATTGACAACAATCAGTGATAATAATGAACACCCATTGTTCTTTACATCAAAATCGGTTTACTCTATCTAAAAGTTAAAAATGGATATTTACCAGATTTTGTTCCACTTTCTAGTAGATATTTTAGAAACTTTATTGTATTTACAACCCCAATCCAATTATGGGTATGACGTTGATGGCATGCACTATTTAGTCTAATGCACAATGAGTGATTATTTTCGAAAAATTTAAACCCTGGTTACCATGACTATTTCCTAATCCTACTGCTAGATAGTCAATGTTCTGGGTCTTTTACATCTTCACCACTACTGCATCGCTGTTTTTGACAATATTCTTGGCTGCATCAAGACCATCAAATTATCTATGATTTATTTAAATTCGTACATTGAACTTGTAAATTTAACCACATTTTTAAACTACTATGAAATTGACATTCTCTATATGGAACTCCTTTTAGCAGGCATTACGAGGTTCCTATTTGGGGATCTGAAAGTTTAGGAAATTTTTTATAATTTTGACCATTTCGATTGGGTTTCAATCTTAGGACTTGAGTTAATATCGGGGAGGGTTCTAAGGGAGCCTAGTTGAACCTAAACATCTGAAATTGTTTGTTGTGATTTCAGAGAACTTAATGGAAGCAATATGTGAGAACTTCTATTAAAGGAGACTACTCCTTGTTTTTGTTTAAGTTCGAAAAGCTTTTTATGTTAAGCACTCATTTTTAATCAAATAATATTTATTTCAAATCTCAATTAAATCCTTAAATATTTTGATTAAAAAATAAAACTTTCTAATTTTCCAGATCATAATCTCTTTTTTATATAGTATTTAGTAGTAATAAACTAAAAAGATTAAATGTAAATATAAAATTATTCAATAAAAATGAAATTAATAATGTCTAATATCACAAAACCAAATATTCGCAATCTTTGGTGGAAAGTCTTTTTATCTTATTCTATCGCTACGTAGATGAAAACATTTCTAATGGGTCCACATTCATTTCATTATGAAATTGCTCAAAAGTTATGCTCAAATTTGGTTTGCGTCTAACTGAAGTCCTAAATCCTCTCTCCTGCCTTTGGGATGAGCTCATTTAATTTTTCTCTTATGGAGTACCACACTCCTTTAATTGCAATTACAATTAGCTTAACAATTCAACCTACTTAAGTAAGTCAACCTTTTAATATCTCTTAGAGGGCGTTTGAAAAGGGACTGGCTTAACTTCAGTTTTACACTCAGATTTTCTTCTGATGACATTATACTCTTTTTGATCTGACACTATTTTAGGTTTCAATTCAATAATGTTAGATTCTAAAGATGTGTTAAATGCTGAATATGTCTTATTGCATGGAGTCTTTGGCTTACATGACTCAAATTATTTATAAGATTGTCTAATCGAAGTTTTGGTCTACTTTTTAACATCTGGTTGTTCAATATCAAATATTTAAACCTCACTTTATCCCTTAATATTGTTTTCTAATTAATTTTGAATCAATTCATTCTACATTATAACCTTAGGAGGCGTCAGAAATTGCTTATATTATGGCACAAAATATTCCTCTGTCTATGTGTATTAATCAGAATTTCTTGCCTCTTGAACAAATTAGTGATGAAGATTTTATTCTAAATCCTATTATTTCTACTTGACTTCCATCTCTTTCTCAAACTCAAAATTGGGTTAGTTTTACTTCTTTTTATCGGATTCATTTTACTTCTCGTTTTAATTATTGACTGCAACTTTCTATTATAACAATTTTAACTAATTTTCTAACAAATCCTTCGAAAACTATTACTTCTATATACTCTATTAATAATTCAATAGCAATTTCTGTAACCAAGTTATCTTTGATTGCAATTAAATAAATTAATTATGATATATTGAAGAATATTCTAAATTTTCATAGTTAACTTTGAGTTTCTACATACTCTATAAGAAATCTGAAATTGAAGATGCTTATTTTGGATTAGCAGTAATTGATTTGCTTATTTGAGTTTGATTCCTCCATACAAGGATGGCAGCATGCAATAAGCTGTTTTTATTTTGGGTGAGCACTATGTAAATTATATTCAATTACAAAAAGAAATGATTTTTTGATAATTAGTCTCTAGATCATTTTGAATCTTGTGTTACAGAGCTATTTGGGATGTCAATTCTGTTTCCTTTTGTGAGTAGGTTTCCTTAATCTTTTTCTGATCTTAGGTGAGTTTCTCCATAAATAAAGTGAGAGAGGTTTCAATCAATTATTAATAGATTTACAATTCTCTTTCTATTATTTTGGATTAAGAGAGAATCTGATCAATTTCTTTATAATTAATGCCATAACCCTGTTTTTGATGTTTGAATACAGATAAAATAAATGAGTTGCCATGATTTTCTTAGAAGTATTTCCAAATTTTGTATGGATCTTTTTCAAGCTAAGCTATTTTTCTGACCAAGTACTCTGCTGATTGATGATGTTCGTGTTTTTATTTGAAATCTTTCAGTGCCTGTTTTGTCATTACTAACTCTCTTTTTTAGGCTTCGATAATGATGTTTAAATGCTTAATCTTATTTTCATAGTTGTGAGAAACCTTTTCGAGGTTCTTGTTTATGATATCCAAAGTAGCTTAATCTTTTATTAAATTTCTATCAATTAATATATTCTCATTATTGAGTTATGCGTGGTTTAGTCTGTAAATTTATTCGGTTAGATTTTGAATTTCCTTCATGTAAGATGATGTTTAATCCTGTATTAATTGATCTCTTTTTGTTAACTTCTCAGTCAGATCTTTTAACTACTTCTTACATTTTTTGTGCAGATCCAAATCACTGTCATCCATATCTCCAATCTTTCGTTCCTTTTGAACAATAAACAATTTGACTTTGTTACAAGGGTTCTCTCTTAAATGACTTTTGAGGTTATAAATCAAATTAAGTAAGTCTGATTTCTATTTATATTCTTAGACCGTATTATTATCGTCAACAATGTAGGTCATAATTTAGTATATCATTTGATAGCATGACTCCTCTGTTTAATGAAAAAGTTAAATTATTTGTTAAATAGACTCATCGAGTTAAAGCAGTATAAAATTCATAATATATAATATTTTAACACATTTCAAGCTATTATTAATTTTTAATAATGAACAATAATATTGGCGAAGATGATGATGATATGCTCATCAGTGGAGCTAGGAACAACAACAGAGGTCAGATCAATTTAGATTTATCGAATTATTCATGCAACATGTAAGAGTCATATCCACTGCTATATAAGACCTGATATCACCCCATCATTTGATCTGCTTAATTTTAGGAAGTTCATCCTGAATCAAAACTGGAATATTGGTGACTTATAGGAGTTGATTCTGAATTGCTAATTGAGTTCGATCAAATTGAGATTCAGCATATGGAGATTGTTCCTAGGCATCTTTTCAATTGATGACCCTCTCGAGTAGAAAATCATTAAGCTCAATTAACATAGATCGGATTATTAAAATTTAAGCAAGTAATATTTATAAGCTGAAACAAAGAAAGAATCCAAAAGAACTATAAGAAATCCCTTGTAATAAAATTAATAAGAATAGCAAAAACCCAATGTAAATATAGATATAATCCTGAATTAAGGTTTGGAATAACTTTTTTGAGATCAACCATCTAAAAAGTGAAATAAAGAAGGATGTTGATAGAACTCATCAGGATAAATAGTTATTTCAGAGCTTAAAGATAAAGAATTTGCTGTCGAACATTTTATTCATCTGGAGTGTTAAGAACCCTACAATCTCATATAGATAAGGAATGAACGAATTGGCAGCTAATGTTATTGAGGTCTACTTCACAGAAGTCCAAGGGTTTAATAGTTTGGAAGATAGTGAGGATAAGAAGGAGATAGCAATATTCTATGATATCAAGTTTGCAGAAGAAGATATCTTTTAATTGTTTGAATAAATCATGGTTGCTCATGTTGATATGTTTAAACATACACCAGAAAGCCAGAAGAAACAACAACTAATAATATAGAATAGGATCCAGAAAATCTATGATCAATAGTTGAAAATAATTGATGTCACCTTATTCAAGCATTTAAAAGTCCAGGATGTTGAACTATCAGTATTTCTAGTTAGATGGATTAGGTATTATTATTGGGAATATTAATTTAGATGTATGTTTACAAGAGAATTCCATGTGGAAGATTCTTTGAAAGTTTGGGATGCCATATTCTATGATTACTACCTTACTGAGGATAAATAATGGCTTTTATTGGTTGATTGTATTGTTATAGCCATGTTTGTCTATGTCCGAGATTAAAGTACTAGAATTTCAATTATATAATTCTAGTACTCGAAAAGGATGATCCAAATGCCTGTTTGAAAAGGTTTCTGAAATACCCTCCAGTTGAAAATCTAGCCTAATTGATTCAGGCTGCCTTTAGCATTAAAAGAGTTCTACAGTCTGCTAATCCTGAACAAGCTTTACTTCAAGATCAGTTCCTGATTACTTTCCTAGGCAGTAGAGATGTCAGCAAGTCTCCCAAAATATTCTAAATTGCTAAGAATCAAGAAATTCCTGAAGAAAACAACAAGTAAATAAGATTATCAAATAGATTGATAGATGCAACCAATTTGAAGTAACAAGACAGTATTGAGATGCAGGTGAATCAAGCATAACTCTTACTTAAAGCATTAAATCAAGGGATTGTGTGTATCCAGAGATTCAACACAGATAAGTCTGTTAATGAAGTGAAGTAACTACTAGAAAATGCCAAATCAGAACTGTTAAAATGTTTAGATAAACAATCAAATTGAATTTTAAACTCATAAATTATGTGCACCCAATAGCCCATGTAAACTCTCTCTCTTTTAAAGTCTGTATATAGTTTCAGCTAACAATGGAGCCACACTTAAAACGCTCAATTTTTCATGTAAAATTTGTTTATCTAAATCCTTTACTTGTATGGTATCAGTAACATAAATCTTGGATAAATTTGAAATTCCTAAATTAAGGGCTGCTTTCCCTGAAAATACTGGATGTGTTCCATATGCCATTACTGTTTTGGCTCCTTCCCTTTTTAAGATATCCGCAGCATTCTTTAGTGTCCTTCCTGAATCTATAATATCATCGACGATCAAACAATTTTTTCCATTCACATCTCCGACTAGACTTATTTCTGTCTCACTAACTGGATGTTTAGACTTGTATATCATAGCCAATTCTATGTTACCAATTAATTCTTACTCGTCTTAATATTAGGGAATGCTACTCTTAATTCATCTTACACTTTCTTTACTCTTGATACACCATTAAAATCAGGAGAAACTAAAGTCAATTCGTTTGGTGGACTTAATTTTAAAGGGTGGTTATTAAGCTCGTAAATGAGTGTTATGTATGGCGAAAGATTATCCACTGGAACACTAGTAGAAAAAGCACCTTAGAGTTATCCTCGATGAAGATCAATTGAAACCAGGTGATCTATTCCAGTTTGCTCCAAGATTTTTGCGATATCTGCAGCTGCAATCGACTCAGTTTTAGCTAACTTGTGATCTTATCTTGAATATCCATAATAAGGAATGATGACTGTAATGGTTTTTACAGATGCTCTTCTTAATGCACTTATAAACAAAAATAATTCAACCAGATTTTCATTTACCGGAGGACATGTTGATTGAATTATAAATGCATTTCTTCCTCTTACATTCTCTAAAACCTAAAGATCAAAGAAACATAACTTATATGTTGCATTCCCCATCCGCAAATCTCTCGAGCAGCACCTTCCCAAGGGATATACCTAAACACTTTGCCACCTCGCTTGCCAATTTGGTATTAGAATTACCACTAAAAACTATTGTTTCTGGTCTTTTGAATATTATTAATATTCATACTCAATCTTGTATTATTTCTAATTACTATAGACCTTCGTGTAGGATTCTTCTCGATTGTAAGTGGATAATTAAAGCAAAGAAGACTTACAAACGAAGGGAACAACAAGATATTTCAAATTTCTCATTTTAATTTCTGAAAGATATGAATAAATATACAACTTACAATTTATCAAATATAATCTCTAGTTATGTACTATATATGACAATAGAACTGGATCAGAAATCAACTTATTTTATGATTTATCTCAATAATATCATTACATTAAATATTGAGAATAGTCTTTAATCATAATAGATATTAACCAACGGATTTTATTTTATCGTTAGCCACTAACATCATATCCAATGTTTTAGGATCTATTTTCTGTGTATTCATCCTTTACTTCTTGTCCTATTTAGTAATTTAATTTCTCTTTTGAGTGTACTTAGGTAATAATCCTCTCTAATACTCTGCGGCATATTACCTATCCTTTTCTGTCGGATAGTCAAGATCACATTAATTAACCTTCAATTTATAAGCTATATTACCTCCTTATTATACTGGGAATTAAAAGATTAAAAAAATTTTAAAATTTCAGTTTCCTACTTAAATTCTTTGATTCTATTCTATTAGTTCTCGATTTCAACAGGATCCAATTTACTGATAAATTTCAAGTTCTTCTGAACTGGACTATTTATGTCTTATTAAAAATATGCTTGTTGTTAACTTGGAAAAGTAGTTTAAACTTAATTTTCAAATTTCAAATTTGAAACTTTATTTAAATCATCTCTTCCCAATACTTTCAATTTTTATTCTGAAAGATGTTTTAATTCATCATAACAATTATCATAATATCGATTAAAACCAATATCTTGTTTTGCTACGTTTTTTAATTATTCCTATCTCTATCTGTCTATTAAAATATAATTAATTGCAATACATAACATAATCTAATATTTTACATCCTGATCAGCATTCGATTCTAGTTGCTAAATCAATTCTTCAATAATCGCACACTTTTAAGACAATGGCATGTCATCAGGGATTTAATATTGCTCCATCAATTCTCTTTCGTATTTCATTTTTTCTATTTATTTCTAATATTCCATGTATTTTGATTTTTCCCTCTCCTATTATTCAAGTTTTGTTGGCTAATTTAACAATAAGTAATCATACATCATGAGGAGAGTTTTAATTAGAATTCTTCTTAATTGTTGAAGCCAGACTGGCTGCTGCTGCAACATGCAATTTGAGTTGCGAAGCATTTTTAACTGGCTTGGATCTACTTGATTTCTCCCCTTAAGACGATTCTATTGTTAATTTACTTTCCGGCTAACTATCATCTGATCTTTGTTGCTATTATTATTCCCTTACTTGATACTTTTATTTTGTTGTTAATTTATTATTATTTTTTACACTATTTTATGTATTATGATTTGGAATCTACATTCTCTATTAAGTTTGATTTATTAAAAATTGGCCGGATTATTGGGAATGAGGTGTTTGAATTGAAGATTAAATCTATAATTTTGATTGGGTTTGAATTTAATTTGAACTTTATTATGAGTGTTCTTCTGATTTTTGATTATTGAATGAAGGTGTAATACTTTATACGTTTTTTATTTTCTAAATAGGAGAGCATTCAATAGATTCTTCAATTATTACATTACTTTATGCAGGTTCACATTAATTTACTTATATATTCATTTATTAGTTTAAGTTAGGATAATGTTCATCACTATGCATAATAGATGTCATACTGATTTATTGAAGCAACTACAGAGATTGTTATTAATCAATATTACCATGAGTTTAAAATTGTGGATAATCTTACTATTTATTAGTTTCTACATTTGTAGTTGCAGGTCTATTAGAATTTAAATGATTATGTAAATAATGTTATTTATTCAAGGATTAATCTAATAAGGAGATTTAAGACTCCTCCCTTGAGATTGAAATTTATTAACCATGTTATAGATCTTCTATTTTTTATTCATTTGATTGTAAAGTTCTCAATTTTGTTTTAGTCGACTTGCCTGACTACAATGTTCTGGATGACTAAGGAGGTGATAGAAAATTATTATGTTGTTTAATTTCATCAGTAGTTGGAGTTATTAGATTGTTGTTCTATATATCTAATGAATTTTTATAATCTAATTAATACGATTACCTATTGTTATCTAATTTGTTATGTTATAATTATTATTCTTAATTATTATCTAAATATTTTGCACTTTGAATCGACTGCTTGTTTTATTTAGGATCTGTATCCAAAAACGATAATTCAGTATGAGTTCCATACGTAATCTATTTCAATCCATCACTCAAAGTAAGTTGTATTCTTTGAGAACTTAAATCATCATCATTGTTATTATTATATTACTACAATTTATCTTTAAAATCTATTCTACTTGAATCATTACCATGTAGTTATTATTATTGTATTTTAGAATTACTTTAAGAATTTTATGTATTGATTGGATCTCCTCTCCCATTTAATATTTTATTATCTGTTTTGGATTAGTCATTTATTATTTCTTCATTATTTTTGTTTAATTACGATTCCAAGAGTGATTAGTTATATTTTAAAACAGAATTTTCATTATTTTAATTTACTTTGGTTGATTAATCAATAAAACTTGTTTGATAATTTCTTTCCTATAATTTTGCGTAATTCTCTTACTTTTCTATTTTCCCATATTAACTTACAATATTAATAGTGGGTTTTTAATTTCTGTTCTTAAAATTACTTTAGTTACCAGCCAACTGCTTTTAAATTGACATTTCTTTCAACTCCTCATCAGCTGATGTTTTAATACGACTATTTAACTAAAATGAATTAATAATAACTCTTGAAGTTGTTGAATCGTTTTAATGATAACTTCCATTCGTAAACAACCTCTACCCTTCTTGATTACTTTTCTAATCTAATGTGTATTTTTCATCCTTCCCAAATTATTGTTGAGTATCTACTTTAGAGATTTACTTTGCTTTATTGTTTCGATTCATTTTGCGAGATAAGCAAAGATAGTTTTTTCTTGAATCTATTGATTAAGAAAACATTCGTTTAACTTCGTAATTCACTTTCTATTCCTTGATTGGTGGTTAGTTCTTCATTAAATTTTGCTTTATTATTCCTAAGATCTGCAAATGCAATGGTTAAATAGTCCTCTTTTCCTTTTGTTTCCTCGATAGAAGATCACAAAATTAAGCTTGATCAACATACGATATTGACAACAAGTAACCAGCCAGAACCCTTTCAACTATGGCCAATATAAAGAGATCTTCTCTTTCAAGATTCCTTTTATTATTCAACTAAAATTCATAAGTTTACATTTTTATATTAAGTTTAATTAAAATTTATCTGAAGACGATTCATGATATTGTTCAATTAGCAAAATTGGGTATTTTACTAGAATTGATTAATTAATTTCCAGCTTTTTAAGCATGTCCTTATCTCGCTATTTGTAAATAACATCAATCATTTTTATCTTAGATAATCATTTAATTATTAAATTTTGGAGCATGATTAAAGGTGATTAAAAAAACAGTCAATAAGTTTTAGTTCATTAAAGGCCTTTTAAATTAAAACCTTTATAATATATATCAATTCTTTAACTTTCTGTTAACTTGACTTGAGTAACTTCAAATTAACCTGTAACAAATTCTTACATTATAAAATATCTTCAAAAATCGATATTAATATATAAGGAAATGACTAAAAATGCAAAATAAAAATACTTTAATTATTTTGAAGATATCTACATATTTTATGGTATCTTTCAATTTGACTAGATAAAATAGCTTACAATATTTGTTTTTATGTGTTTTTCAATCATATTATAAAAATAAATTTTCTTTTTTATCTTACTTTTAATATAATTTATAATGTAGATCATTTAATCATATTCTGAGGTATTTCACTCGCATATTGATTATTTAAATTATAGAATTTTTATTCAAAATAATATTATTTAAATATTTATATAAATAATTTATTATTAATATGGACCACTTTGAATAGCCATCAGCAAAATTGCTTTATCTTATTAATGAGATGAATAGACTGAAAATGATCACACAATTGGAGAAATGCACATTAAAATGTATTATAAATATATATAATCTCAGAGTTTATTTTGTAGGAACATCAAGGGATCTACGACCTTTTGAAACAATATCCAAAGAGTGACACTGAACTTGAGTTGGCAGAGGCCATAATTATATTATTAAGAGGAGCTCCAAATTCAGGATGTAATATAATTGAATTATTATTTTAGAATAATAAGTTCAAGATGATGGCGAATATTAAGCAGATTTGGTTATTACAGATGATGTAAGAATTAATTGAATATGTATTAAAGCTTTAATCTCCTTTGGGTAATCAATTGATGAGTAGGAAGAATTATAAATAAAAGAAACATTAACAACAAGATAGCAGACCTTTTGAATTAAATAAGATCCAATGATTCAGTTTACAGGAATATATATAAAACATTTATATCAATTGTCAATCCTCTTCATATAAAAAATAATTGAAAAAATATTTTCGAATGGGAGAACGAAGTCCTATTCTAAATATTATCAGTCTCCATTGATGAGCATTCGTGCTGATGATACAAAACTACTCGATAATCCAGACCTTTCAAACATTGAAACCTCAACATCATTTAAATCGGGACAATATTATTTGCCTTCAAAAATTATACTTATTATTTAATATATACCATCCAATCAATTATTCCTATCTTTTAACTTGAAATTACTAAAATGTTTGAGAAATCATTGAAAAATCAGACTAAACACATTATAAAAGAGTATTCAATACTAATAGAAAATTTTAACTTCATTTTGAGAATTTTTATTTAATAATAAACACACATACTTGCATTCCTAGTTTAGGAGAGTTCCAAAAATTAATTGTGGATTTTTATTAATATACGTATAATTATTATTTTGCTCTATTCAAAAACTCTACTTGAATAATACTTTCATTATTGATATAAATTGCAAGAGGAGTTTCATTTGAACTTATATATCTTTTTGTCCATGTACTAAATTTTTAGAAACTAAACTCTATTAAATTTATAGCCAATTGATTTTGAGATACTTAATTTTCCCTATTTTTATTTTAATGGAACTTCAACTTCTATACCCAATATTTATAATTATTAAAGATTTTTAGCTTTTTCGAGAAGGATGTTTTTTTATTTTATTTTCCTTCAATTTTTGGATTAAGAATATGTACATTAGTATATCTATTTATAAATTTTCAAATATGATCTGCTAATCATCATTAACATATTAACGAACAAGTGATTTAATATAGTATTCTAATTAAATATGAAAAAAATTTCTAATTAGTTAAGGAATGTCGATTTCTTTAGTGTTACCTACACTCCAGCAATTTCAGATGGATTGACCTATAATCATTCCAGTGTTCTAGGCGGGATAATATCGCTGATAATTGGAGTCTTAAGTCTATGTTATTGCATATACTACTTGTACTTGTGGTGGAGCTATTCTTTGTTGCCAAAAGTCACAGAAGATATTAATAACTTTACGGATGATTCACAGTTTGGATTTTTAAGTAATCATATACAAGTCATCGCGAATGATATTAATGGAAAATCCCCAATAAATCCATTCAAAAGTGATGAAATTGTTGTGCTGCCATTGATCTTAGATCTTGATGAAGGGTTGAACTGGTAACCTCTTATAAGTAATATCACTAAAGATCAAGATCTGGACATCAATTTTCAGATGAGCAAAGACAAATAATATATGATCTTGTTTACACTCTGCAAGGAAGAATACCTTATTGCAGATTATTAATGTGCATCTGAAGAAGTGAAGCAAAATTATTTCAGTTAAATGGGCAATACTCTCTACACTGAGATAGAATTTACAACTATTAACCCATCAACATTTGAACCATAATCATTTTATAGAACATATCCATTTTATATTCATTCAAATGCTGAAATGTGCTCATCCATTACTTTACATTACCAAATGAATCACTACTTAATAGATAAGGCTTTTCTCTTTTCAACTGGATAAGAAGAACAGAATTACATTTCAAACTCGCTTAATTATCCACAATATGCCATGAAGGAATTTTGCGACCAATATTATATGTCAGACACATATGGAGCTTTTGTGATTTTGTTTTAACAACAATATCATACAATTCAGATTGGATACCCTTCAATTAGTGAGGTATTTGCAGCGATTGGATCAATCGTCAGCATTTTATTTTCAGTCAAATATGTGATCACCTTACTGAATCTGACATAAATGAGATAATCAATTTTAGATGATATAATGAGACAGTACTATCCTGAAATTAAATAATTTAAAATCATTAAGAATCTTTGGGGCAAGGTGGTTTCAGTCAAATTCCAAGGAGTATAAGTAGAGGTTCCCAGTTATTTGGCATTTTAGAAACAAATTCATTCCTAAATGGCTTGCAAACTCAACTACAAGAATTTACTCTATGAAATGTCTCGATTTTAATTCATTTTGATGTCTTTCAAGCGAAGGAATGAAATTGAGAGGTTCCACCACGTCGGGATAAAGGTTCCCATTCAATTGTCTGAAAATGGAGAGTCGTATTAAATTTCACATGGTATTCAAAACTAATTGAAGACTCTGAATCTACGGCATTGCAATACATTAAACACTAAATATGACATTCTGACTATTAATGATGCCTTAATTTTGAGTCAGGAATACAAGAAGAACAATCACTTGTCTGAGGGGAGAAGCGAGTTCGAGCCTCTTTAAACCACGAATTAGAAGTAGGAGGATTTGGAGCGGGATCAAGAATTCTATGAGATTAACTATATTAAGCCTAACAATGAACTTGAGGAAAATAATTGATGATTAATAAGAGAGACAAAATTATATATCAATAATAATTGTATGAAAAACATGCAAATAATTATTAAATATATAGAATTTTATAAAAATAAAATTAAATCTAAAAATACTCAAGTCATAAGCTTTAGATTCTAAAAAAATTTGATAAATTAAATTCATTTTAAATATCTTCATGTAATAGAAGCCAGACTACAGAAAGGAATTAGCCGAAACAGCTTAAAAGATTTGCACACCAGGAAAAGGAATCTTGGCAGCTGATGAAGTACCAAATTAAATTTAAAGTTTAGTCTTAAGGAACAATCGGAAAGAAGTTCGTCACTATCAACGTTGAAAACAACGAAGAGAACAGAAGAGCCTACAGAGAATTGTTATTCACTGCTCCAGGCGTTGAAAATTACATCAGTGGTGTCATCCTCTTCTCCGAGACTGTATTACATATTATTAATGACTTCCCATAGGTTAAACACGCTACCAAAGATGGAAAGAACTTCGTCTAATTGCTTTAAGAGAAAGGCATCGTGGCAGGAATCAAAGTCGATAAGGGTTTGGGTGTACTTCCAGGAACACAAGATGAATCAGCAACTCTTGGATTAGACTCCTTGGCTAGTATGGCTGCTGAACACTACAAACTTGGTTGCAGATTTGCCAAATGGAGAGCAGTCTTGAAAATTGGCAATGGCTTACCATCACAATAAGCCATCCAAGAAAATGCATGGGGATTGGCCAGATATGCAGCAATCTGCTAAGAAAATGGTCTTGTCCCAATTGTCGAACCAGAAATCTTGGCCGATGGAGACCACTCAATCGAAGTCTGCTAAAAGGTCACCGAAAAAGTTTTGGCTGCCGTATTCAAGGCATTGAATGAAAACAACATCTTCTTAGAGGGATGTCTCCTTAAACCCAATATGGTTACACCAGGATCAACCAATGCAGACAGAAGCAAAGTCACACCATAAGAAATTGGATACAGAACAGCTTTGGCCTTGAGCAGAACAGTTCCACCTGCTCTTGTCGGAGTCACAGTAATTAAAACCTATTAATTGTGTTTAGTTCCTTTCAGGAGGACAATCTGAGGAAGAAGCTTCTTTGAATTTGAATGCTATGAATTAATTGACCACAGTCAGAAAACCATGGGCTTTGACTTTCTCTTATGGCAGAGCACTCCAAAACACTGCAGTGAAGACATGGGCTGGCAAATAAGAAAATTGGGAAATTGCTTAATAAGCATTATTGACCAGAGCCAAGGCTAACAGCGAAGCTTAATTAGGACCTTAGTTTATATTATAAAAATAGGAAAATATCAAGGTGGATAAGGCGGAGCATCCAACGAATCCTTGTTTGTGGCTGATTACAAATATTGAGTATCATGAAATATCATAAAATAAAACATAATCATCATTATTCTTACTCGAATCAAAAGTAAACACGTATTATAATTAGAATTAAAAATAGTTTTTTATTATGTTACGCATATTATTCTAATGATGCGTATAATTTTTGTACTTTATGAAGGTAATCGTAATTTGTATCCTAATTATTTAATGTAAAAGCTCTAGTTGCTCTAGAATCAGTTCAACCCAACCTCTGACGACATCTTCTTCCACATCGTTCAAGCACCTCCTGATCCTATTTTTGGAATTGCCAATGCATACAAGGCAGACACATCCAATACCAAAATCGATTTGGGAGTCGGTGCTTATCGTACAGACGAAGAGAAGCCCTACGTCTTTGAAATTATCAAGAAATTAGAGAAGGAAGTAGTTAACGATCCAACATTAAACAAAGTACGATCTATTAATATTCTAGGAATATTTACCAATTGAAGGTTTGGCTGATTTCAATAAGGGATGTCAAAAGCTCATGTTCGGATAAAACAGTCCTTTGATCGCCTCTGGATAAATTGTCACAGCTCAATGTTTGGGAGGCACAGGAGCACTCAGAGTTGGTTTTGAGTTTGTTAAGAGACACATTCCAGGTGATGTCTACGTGTCTAAACCTACTTGGAGCAATCACAATCAAGTCATCGAAAGAGCTGGTTTGAATCAATCCGAATATCCATATTTCGATCCAAAAACCAAAGGTTTCAATTGTGCAGGAACTATTGAATGCTTATCACAAGCCAGAATGGGATCAATTGTCTTATTACACGTTTGTGCTCATAACCCAACAGGTGTTGATCCAACAGAAGCTGAATGGCTCTAAATAGCTGATGTTTGCAAGAAAAGAAGATTAGTTCCATTCTTTGATTGTGCTTATTAAGGATTTGCAAGTGGATGCATTGAAAAGGATGTTTTTGCCGTCCGCAAATTTGCTGAACTTGGATTCTAAATGATTGTCGCTCAATCATTCTCCAAAAATATGGGATTATACAATGAAAGAGTAGGAGCTGTACATATTGTTACATCCAACAAAGACATCTCTGCAAGAGTTTTAAGCAACCTCAAAATTGTCATTAGAACCATTTGTTCTAATCCACCTGCAATTGGTGCTAGAATCGCTGCTAAAATTTTAACTGACGAGAAGAATTTCAATGCTTGGGTTGAAGAATTGAAGACTGTCACTGGAAGAATCATTAAAATGAGAACTCTTCTCAAATAAGAGTTAGACAACCTTAAAGTACCAGGAAATTGGGATCACATCACCAGACAAACAGGTTTCTTCACATTTACTGGTCTCACTCCAGAATAATGCGATTTATTGACAAAGCAATATCACGTGTATTTGCTCAGATCTGGAAGAATGTCAATGGTATTATTTTATATTTATGAATTAATAGGCTGGAATCACATCCAAAAATGTTAGATATTTGGCAGAGTCAATTAAAGCTGTTGTATAAAACAAATGAGATTTATTAATAAATTATTAAATAATCTATTATCATTGAAGGCTTAGCTCAGGGGTAGAGCGTTGGATTCCAGGTCCAGGGGTCGCGCGTTCAATTCGCGTAGTCTTCAGATTTTTTTTATTTTCAATAATAAATAATAAATAAATTTTTAAATTGAATCCTAATATGAGGGCAATGAAAGAATTTTAAGAAATTAGATTTTATTCTTAAATAAATTTATGAATGAAAGAATATTTTTTTAAGGAAACACACTTGGATTACAAAGAATCTTTACACTCTTAACAATATTACATTATTTTCCTATAATTCTTATGGGTCCTCTCTTCTTATTGTAGGAGTAATTAAAATAAACATTAACTACTACATATAATTTAGCCTTAAGATTTTATGCCAATTTGTCTCAACGACGTAATATCAGATTCATAATTTGACGATTTTACAGAGATATCCTAATTAACGGGATTAATCTCATTTATAATTTAAAGATCTTTAATATATTTTTATAGTTATATTGCACTGATATAAATTATTATTTTCATCTTAAAAGACATATTAAATTATAAATTATTCGAATAAATATATGACAAGCAACTTAGAAATCTTATAAACATTTTCAGGAAAGTATAAATAGTCATTTTTTAAGTAATTATTTGCTTTTTCCTTAGTACTGTTTACCAAATGATTTGCCAAAATAATTAATCTCTGTAGATTAGTATTATACTTGCTGCAGTCTAGTTTTTGTAATTGCTTTATTTCCCGTTTCAATCACAAATCAAATATGCTTGGTATAATCATAAACTTTCATCGTAAATCTAAGAATTTCTATCATATTTTACAATAATAAGAATGCTGATTAATTAGAGCACATCTTTATATTTAATGGTGATGTACTTTATAATTAGTATTATACTGCTTACGACATTGCTTATCATTATATTAACAATTTAGAAAAGTCTATATAATCAAAAAGTTATTATTTTATTTCTTGCTAAATCAATACAATTTATAATGAGTATTGGATTTGCTGAAATTTTAAGAATACTTTTGGGAGTAAAAATTATATATAATAAAATATCTAGTATTTACTCTGCTAACCTGATTAAAATGGGATTCTAAAAATGGTATATCTTGTTGATTAAGAATGCTGGGTAGGGGACTATTATTATCATGCAATTTTCGTGATTATATCACTTTTGCTCTTTATATTTTTTGTTATAATTTGCAGCAAACTATTCATCGAGTTAAGAAACAATAAGAAAAATACATTTTCGTAGAGGGAAGGTATTTCCTATTCATACCTATTTATTTATATAATATTTTCAATGGCATCATATTCTTTATTTCAACTACCGAAATATTCTATTTGTGTAATAGCTATTTAAAATATTACAAGCTTTATATTCTTCTACAGAATGTACTACAAACACCCTTTTTATAATTAAACTGTTTAAAAAATTTGGATATCGATAAGTGGATTGGTATTCCATACCAACTTGATGTAATTAATGGCTTTCTTATTTAATCATTTGATTGTGTAAAATTCTATGTTAGGTTGGTTAATCACTTGTCCAATGGCAATCGTGATTTTTTTAGGAAGACAAAATCATTAAATTGATCTCATAAAAATTAATTTAGCAAGATATTAGTCAACAGAAAATATTGTAAAAGATTGTGAATACTTAGTAGAATTAGCAGATTCATATGAAAAAGATCAAACGAAGGAGATTTAAGTATTGGGGTTTTTGGAGATGCATGAATCAACTTGTTTACAAGCAAATTGTGCTATTAAGATTAATAAAAATTTGGCTATGAAATTTTAAGAAAATCCTAAATATACTGATGAAAGATTAATTTTTAAGGAACTTATAAACTAACTTTATTAAAATGGAATAAATAAATATCCTTAAAGCATTGATCTTAGAATACATTACAGCTATTTCCTTTACGATCATTTGGCAGATGGATAAAAAGCCTTACACGAATTAGTCAAAGCAGAACAATTAAATCCTGATTTTGGATAACAATTTTAGATTTTTTCAATGAAAAAAATTTTAGAAGACTCATTCTCGAAGACTTTTTTTGGTGTCAATACTCTTGAATATTCAGTTTCAATTGATCGAAATATCTAATTTCAACAAAGTCAGCTTAAATAAAGGATTCTAGAAGGCTCCTATCAAATGCTGTAATTTTGGAATTAACTATTAGAGGAAATTCCAAATTTAACCGTTTTATCAATTCTTGGAAGAAAAGTATTAGGATCGATTCAATAGATCAGAAAATAAATTACTCTAATGTAGAAAACAAACACATTTAATTAATCTACTAAAAAGCTCATATGCAAATTCAGCGATTATGTCTTCTATATGTCAGATACTATGAAGTTTGCTAAAATCAATATTAATTATCAAAGTGATGAAGTTAACTACTAATCTAAATTCCTGGATTAAAATAATTTATTAGGTTCTTAAGACTTGAGTTCATATTCATAACCTGTAATTGTGTTGGAACTATTTAGCAATAATAATTAAAATTCTATTGTAAAAAATATAAATTAAGCTACTTGTTCATTGCTAGGATTTTCTCGGACTGATATAATAGGGCATTCAATCTGTCAATTATTCTAATCTAAGTATATTGCATAATATTATAAGCTATTCAAAGCTACATCAATATGTTGTGCAAAGATATTTTACCTCGGATTCGTAAGTGTAATTATCTATCTTACCACAGAGATATTAATTCTTCAAAACTAAGTCTTAATATGTCATATTAGCTCAAAGTGCCAGTTCCATCCTTTAGACAGAAAAAGGAGTCTTTCAATTTTTGAGACTTACAACAGATGTTAATTATCGCAATTATGCTTATATTATTTTTAACGGAGATGGAAAAATAGAAAATATATCAGCTTCATGCATCTCAATTTTGAAGTTGGATATTCGTAAACTTTAATTAAAATAATTAAATATAGAGCAACTATTTCCAAATTTATTATCGAATAAGGAAACATATTTCAATAAAATGAATAAAATTGTGTATGAGTATCATAAATCCAAAGTGAAAAGTTTGAATTTTGTTGTATATGAAAAAGAAAAGCGAAAATAAATTGGATTTATGGTGTAATTATTTGAGATATCAGACAAAAATTTATATAACAAAAAAGAGGAAAAATAATAAATATTTGGATACTATCTAAAAATAGAATAAATAGAGCATAAGCTAGTAAATAATTCTCCTAAAATAAAAACAAAATAAACAACAAAAGAATTTACATATTCTATTGAATAACGTGCTTTCATTTGTAATACTTTATCATAAATTTAGATGGAAATGCTAATTCATTACAGGATTCTGTCAAAGAAGATAATGAAATTTAAGTGGTGTCTAAATAGAAAACAATATTTTAACCAAAAAAATTAAGTAAGAAACAAAACTCATCCTTGAAGTAAGATCAAAATTAAATGTCCTATGGTTTTGACATTAAAACGTTAAGATTGTTTTAAGGAAAGATTTAAGAGATAATAGATCCAAACTAAGAAGAGGATGATGATGATAATGTTAAGGATAATACAGAACACTCTAAAACAGAAATTATTATTGATAAGAATTAATCTAATTAGATCAACACTTAAAATGATTTAAGTTTATACCTGTAGAACATACCCTATCCTACATTTTTGAGAAGATTAGTTCTCTTAAATAATATTTTACTACTTGTTTTATTTGCAATATCATGTATAATGTATTCAACCTTATATGTCACTTTTTTAAAATTCAAAAATGCTGTTGAACTTGGTGCTGCAAGTAACTAACGCTTTTCTTCTCTGATGAAGATTCAGTCGAACCTCTAGGATTTGAGAGGTTGCAATTTGAATATTGAAGCGTTAGAATAGTAAAAGATAGGAGATGAATTTATTAATATCAATTTTTTGGAGTTAAAAAATGAATTGAATTTACTTCTTGAATAAAACAATCTTTTAACCTCTTCAGATTTAACAATTAACTAGAATTATTAAACATACATTTCTGAATTTGAAGAACCCTAAATTTAAATGTTCTCAGTAGATAATAGTTATCAGAATTTTACTTATTCCTAAGCAGTTCAATAATTAATAGCTAGAGCTATAACATTAAATAATAGCGAATTATCAAAATTCATTGACAATAATGAAGATTTTCATTATTTCGTGCATAATACATTCAATTCTATTGCAAAATATGAATATGTTTCTTAAAACTACTACTTTTCAAATATTTATAGTTTATTAGATGATTTAAAAACATTTGAAGATGTATTTTTTATTCTTTCATCCTCTTGTGTGCTTTTAATATTTTTCTTTTGTCAATTTTACCTTCATTCTCATTAATCCTATATGAGGAATATAATTTCGGCCTTTTTAGAAATAAAGGAGCAGTCCTTAAAATAGATTGTTAGCAAAATTCGAAATTTCCTCTAGATGCTTCAAACAACTGATGATGATGATGTATACATTTAATATATTTAGGTGGATTAATTTGATTTGGAATAAAATGAAAATTAAGAAGAACAAGAACTAGAAGAATTAACCAAAAATAGTAAGAAGAGAAAATTTAAGTACTCGTCAGAAAGTGAAAATAAGATTTAAATTCGAATAATTTTTGTTTCGTTGTTATTTTACTCTTACTTTTGTTATTTGTACTTTAGTTCTACAGTAAGTAATAATTATTAATTTTAGACAATCATCTCTTATTCAAACTTACTGATTCCGCTTGTTAATATTACATCTTATATTCCATCATAATATCGTTTGATTGATAACTCCATAAAGGAGATGCTATATGATTCCGAAGCTATGATTATGAATGAATTAAATTCCATAGATAAGATGAATTACTTAATTGATGAAATTTAAGCATTGGATGCAGAATTGCATATTTTGAATTAAAAAAATGAGCATATTTTATCTGCAGAGTATATTCAACTGTTCAATGAAATTTATATATTAAGTCCATGCACGATCATTATAGAATACGATTAATCAGTTACTAATGCATCCTGCTTATCCTTTAATGAGAATATTCTAAAGGATGGATTAGCAGTTGCAATTTCAAGTTTTTTTGAAAACGCCTGCAAAATGGTGTAGGAGTACTACTACTATGACCCAAACGCCATATATTCTAACTTAACCTATAATCTCAGCTCAAATCATAAGAAAAACTTTACCTACAACATTCTAAATACTAGAGACAGCAATGATAATAGATAAATGCAAAAAGTTTTCATAAGAATATGTCATTTATAATTGATGAAAGAATTATTAAATTAGTTAAATAACTATTTTTCCTTTTTGGCATTTCAATTGACCTTATTATTCATGATATTTTGCATAATTGCTGTGTTTACACACTTTTTGATTTGGATCCCTATTTTAGCCAATTTTTATTAGGAAGCATAAAAAAATCTAGAAACTTTAACTATCATACCAGTTGAGGATTTAAATAAATGTGTATAAATATAAGAGCATTTGAAAAATTTGAAAGAGCTCAATTAATGATAAATTAAAAATTATTTATTTTCAAAATTATAAATCAAGACATCAATTTCTGTAATTAAATTTATATTATAGGAATAGATTTATTTCCTTCAATTTGTAAAATAAAATATCTGAAAATTTTGAATGATTTGTTGTAAGAAAAAGCAATATTTTAAGAAAGTTTATCAATTATACTATAATTTTAAAAGTTTATTTCTGTGGAACTCAAAAGTGGCAAAAATACAAGGGTGTAATATGTGAGAAATTTAGAATTCTAAAAAGTCATATTGTTGCTAGTGAGATTTTAACTCAATGTTAGATCTTATAATAGGGATAAGAAATTGTAAAATTCTATGTTTACAACAATAACTCAACAATACTACAATTTAACCAAATTTAATGGAGCATATAAGAAATAAATTCAAATTTGAAGAATTTAAGAGTTTATACTCCATGTTTTATTTTGGAGCCAAATAATATCATTTAGAGTTTATTTAGTCACTCAAAAAATTAAGAACTTCATAGAATGTAATATTTTTATGATAATGTTATCTAAGAATAATCACTTTGATCTTTCATTTTTTATAAAGCCTTTTGGAGATTTTGAAAGAAACCATAAGATTATTGATTTTATAGAAGGAACTGGTATTTTTTATACTCAATAGCCACAAAAATGACTTTCGCTGATGTAATACTGGGAAATAAAGAGTATTTGGTGACAATACTCTAATAAATCCTCACTAGTCTTGAATATAACAATAGTATGCATAGGGATTTATAAAACAATGTATTCTCCGAGTAAAGCAAATTAAAATTCTTTAAAATTGTTGACTTTGAGTATGCTACCTCTTAAAGTGTTAACAAACAATTAGGTTAATTGTACATTTGATATTATTTCCAGAATGTGGAAAGCCTATTTATGTCGGTCTTTAAACTTCTAATTTAATTTATTAATCCGAAATATGTTAAAATTTTGTGATATGTAAGGTATAGGTATGACCTTTTAAATTATAAATTACCAATATTACCGGACGACTAACTGGTAGATACCTTCTTTCTGATGTTACATTTAGTTTAGTATTATCACTAAACAAGCAATCCAAAATTGATCTAACTCCTTTATAAATATAAAAATTGAAAAAAAAAGTGACATTTAGTTGATTCAAAACTTTTTCAACAAAGCCTTAAAAAAGGATTTCCTTTGGTTGGTGTTTAAATGAGTAGTTCTTTTTATAATCGCTGTCTTTAAACTAAGAACAAAAAATTTAGTAAACTACTGCTCAGACCAAAATTTTCTTCTTTGTTTGGAAAAATTTAAGTCTACAGAATTTTATGCTAGTTCTCTTCGGTAAATTAGATGAGATAGAGAGAGAGAAATGAACTCATATCTAAATTGAATTGCTATAAATAGTAGAGGAAATAGATTTCTTAGAATTCTAATTCAGCCCTTTAGTGTTTAGTTATAATATTAAGAAAAATAACTCTATAAATAAAAACTTATTTTCATGAGGAGGAAGCTAAGGTGACACTAACTCTTAATCTTCTATTTAAAATTGGATTTCTGTATGCATTGTAAGGAGTATCTATAGAAATTCTCTTTTTCAGAATTTCTTCTGGGAAAGGAGAAGTTCTCAATTTTTTTACCATTTAACCAAGTTCCCCTTCTTTTTATTGATTATCTTTTCTTTATTTCATGTTACTCATGCAAATTCCCATTTAAACTTTATTTAATATTTAATTGAAGGTTAACGAAAAAAATATTTGAAAGAAATACCAAATAAACGCAGTTCTTAAGTTAATCCTATTAATTAAACTAACTCTAAACTTCAAAACTAAGATCAAACTAAACATCTATTTAGAAAATCACTTTAATAGAAGTTAATTTACAGTACTATTTTAAATAAAAATAGTCAAACATTTATAACAAAAAAAGTAAAATTAAATTAATGCTGTCTTCTTCCATTAAGTAAATTCTATAACTTTCTATTATTGATTAAAGGGATGGGAAGGTAATACAGAATTTCAAAATTAGGAATTCCTCATAGTGAACCGTTTGTGTAATAATTCATAAATTTTTTCCCTTAATAGTATATATATTTTAGACAAATACTTAATCTCATGAACGAATTTAAAATTAAGTAAAATATCAATTTTTTTGGAGTAGATTGCTCTCTCAATAATGTATTTAAATTGGAATATATATATATTATAAATATGGAATAAGAATCTTAGTTCTTGATTATGTTTATTTGAGATTTTTGGATTTGTTGGCTTTGATGAGTAATATAGATATAATATTTTTCCTTATTTTAGTAGTTAATTGCAAACAATTATAAATATTTAATTTTATATGATTCTCCAAATAGTGTAGGTAGACTAAAAATCATAAATTCTCATAGAGCTAATACTTAATACATAACTTGAAATTTATGAAATTATGTTCAACATATAAGGCTTATAAATCAATTCATAGTACAATAACAATATCATTCTGATTGAGTCTATGGATTAGGGGAGGGAGGCATTTCTTTTAATCTTCGACTGAGAATTGGATTTTTAAAAGGATTTAAATATGACGATTAACTTGCTCTTTGCTTCAAGATTACACTGCAGTCTTATGATAGTCTAACTTGAGCTACTACTTATTATAATTCTCCATTATTTCTTGATTTTTTCTATTTCTAAGAAGCACAGGTTCCCATATAAAATATTTATATTAAAGAAGATTTTTCAAACTTTTATATATATTGGTATTAAATTTTACTTTTTATTCATTCAGACTCTGAAGTTACATGATATAAAATATTCAATAATTTTTATTAATAATTATTACTTTTACATTAGGCAAAACATTTAAAGGGAGAATACTTTATTTTTAAATTGCTTGCTTATAAAATATGGATGGTGATTTAAGAGAAACTTTCTCTATTCCCTTGTGGTTTCATTTTGAATAAACAATATTAGAATCTTTGTTACTACTTTTGAAAATTGCTCTATAAATTATTAGTGTTACTTTATGAATTGAAAAAAATGATATTTAATTAAATCAAAAGAAGATTAGATTCTTTCTATTATTAATTTTAATACTAGATGGTTGTGTTTTAAGGGAGAAAAAGATCTCAACTTTTTAAAATATATTATTTCCTGACTATAAAGGTTAATCAAGCTGCTGATTTTCATCACAATCAATTCTCATTTCTTTCTAATTCATTCATTGGATTAGATTAAGTTATAAAAATATATGTGATCAAATTATTGAAAATATATATTTCAACAATCACAGTCATTCATTAAGGTCAGAATACAATCTAAAACTTATTATATATAGCCATATTATATATTGGTTTTATAATAGCATCATATTATAACCAGTTTAGACGTATCATTATGTTTTTGTTGATTAATCATCACTATAAATTCCTCTATTATGTGTTGCATCCTATCAACATCGATCTCACTTGTCTTTATTTTAGTCAAGCTAGTAGTCTCCAAAACCCTTTTTACAAACGCTACCACTTTTGAAAACATGATTCTTCCTAAAATTGATAAATCTATTTTCTAATTGTTATAGATAAAATTTTGCCAAACAGATTCTCCTATTCCTACAAATTCAATATTGGGTATAATTTTTAATGCTACGAAATTTTATGATTCTAAAGTGCCTCTTCTCTAACTTTTCAAGATTTCATACAATTCCGCAATTTTAATAAAATAAACAATTAATGTTATAACTTCCCTGAACCATACCACTTTTAGTAATTCTACCTTCTATCTAGCCTTCAGACAGACTCAAAGAGAAGCAAGCAATTTTAGACTCATAAAACAATTTTCCGAATTAAAGTTTCTATTGATAACTAAGAAGCTTTTTTGATTAATTTATACCTTTCTATATAATTAAAACTAAATGTTCTGCGAAAATTCATATTCCATTGCACGAGAATTAGTAAATTTAAAGTATTGTGATGTAATTTCTAAAACCTTGAAAATCTTTTTTTTATTAAATGTTTTTATGTTATATACTTTATTCATTCATTAATAAAATTCTTTAATTTTATGGAAGATTTTAGCAATGATGATATCAATTACTTTATTGCAAAGTTAAGTGAAGACTGTTCAAAATCATTTTTTGATAACTATTAAAATGATTCCTAACTTTTGGGAATAAAATGTATTTAATTACACGTATCATTTAGTGGATGAATAGTTAATAAAATCTATTAGAGACAAAGAAGAGATGATGAAAAAAATGTTTGATTTACTAAGTATTTGGATATGACAAATTTAGATTACATTTTTAAAAAATAGTAAAAAATTCTTACCGATTATGAAGATCTGAAAATTTAAGGTTAGCACAATCTTTTGGTTTTGAAATAAGAAATATAATAAAATCAATATTAAATAGAACAATTATAAGTATATTGATTTTAAATTCTAGACTTTGAATGAGGAAAATTAGGAAAAAAATTAGCAATTTCTTGACTAGATAGAAGAATTAGAAAATTAGTTACAACAAAAGAAATCTGAAATTTTATAAATCAAAAAAAATGAAGGAAGAATAAGCCAAAATCATTAAGTATTTTAATCCAAATTAATTTAAAAGGTTCATGAAATCAAATTTCAAGAACAAAAAGAGTAATTATAGAGTCTCTAAGCTAAAGTACAATAGCTTGAAAAAAATAACAGTAGGTTTAAAAGCGAAGCATAGCCTCATTTAAT